TGTGCTGTTTCCATGTGGGCTTTGTAACCCTCTTGTTTGAGATGGAGTTTCTAAACCAGCTGAGATCCCACTCCTGAAAGAAACAAGGGTTCTTCCTTCACCGCAGCATTCACCTCCTCATTAGAAGCGCACCGCCCTGCTAAAAGAAAGCATTCTAAAGCAGCCAGTTAGCTATGTTGATAGCCATTAGGACTTCAGCAAAGACGTCGGCACACTGCACTTTCTAACCCTAAGCTGGTGGCTCTTCACTAAAGCTAAAGGGAAGCGCCACCCCCCACCCCCCGGTTGATATTGCTCCTAGTGTTAATATATGCGCATACATTTGCAAGTGCTTTCTGATTTCATGCCTTCATATCATGGTCCACATTGTCTCTCCCTTTTAGAAATGACTCCACATTCTTCTCTATCAGATAAACTACAACTTCAAGGCTCATCTTAAAGGAATCCTTACCTCCCCACCTTTTCTTTCAGAAAGGGGAGTTTGTTGCCTTTGCTTTTCTTTCACCAGGCGATGTATGCCTTTTTATTGGAGCAGTTTCTCCTCTGCCATGCCATCACCTTCTCCTCTTGAGGGACCATTATGTCTTTGGATTTTGCAGAACCTTTTTTTTGCCGATTACTAGAGCAAAAGAAATGACGGTGATCATTGTTGGATAGGAATCTGGTTATGTTGTTTGCTACATTGGGCTTCCCTTGCTCACTTTAAAGAAGCACATTTGCTTTGTTCTATAATCACTGTTTCTGCTTAGCAAAAAAATGGGTAGTTCACATGCCAATTTCATATATTTTATATCATCTGAAGCAATATTAGTATTTCATAAATACAGAGTAGATGAGAATTAAAGGAAGGAATATTCATTTAGAGCTATCCAAAACTATGCTCAACGCTGACTCCAGCCATGGTTGAGTCATATAAACTTTCTCAGTACAGTTTACTAATTAAAATGAGAGTACTGGAGCTTACTACTATTGATAAATGCTACTTCAAAGATATTTGAATATGCGAGTCACACCAAATTCTGGATGACATTGCAAAAAGTGTTGGTTTTTATCAGGTGCTATTGAACCAGTTCCAACACATGGCAACCTTATTTACAATAGACGAAAACACTATGTAGTCCTGCATGACAATTATCGCTATATTTGGGTCCATTATTGCAGCCACTGTTGTAATCCATGTCCTTGATGGCCTTTTTTTTTTTGCTGTTATTCCACTTTGCTATGTATGATGTTCTCTACTAAGTACTAATCTCTCCTGACAACATGTCCAAAGTACAAGGGATGGAGTCGTGCCATCCTTACTTAGAGTGAGCATTCTGGCTGTAGAATCCCTATCATAAAGAATGGGGAGTCCAAAACATTTAATTGTGCCCATTCAGAAGTTATGCATAAAATAGTTCTACTAGAACAAGGAGATTCTGAATTGTTTAAAATCAGACGTCTGTTGCAGGGTTGTATGTTTTTTCCAAATGTATTCCATCTGTATATTAAGAAAATCACCTAAGAAACTGATCTATACAAGAACACATCATCAGGACTGGAAGGTATTCATGGAAAGAGCAGACAGAAAAATCAAGTAACATATTACCTTGGGAAAATTTGTTGTACAAGGTCTCTTAAAATG